ATCAGATGTTCGATCTTGTTAATTTCTAGGCTAAGCAATTAACACTTAATAATTTGAGTGTCCTTGAAGCACTAGATTTATAGAGAGACTATTTCAGCCTTAGCTACCGACCTCCCAGCAATTTCTTGGTAAGTGCTAGTGATGATGAAGTCGCTGGTGTTCATGGAAATCATATCGGCGGTAAATTGGCAAGAGAAATGGTACTTCTGGTCCATCTCTCTCCACTTAACATCTGAATCCTCGTACTTTGTCTTCTCCAGAGCGTGTGCAATTGTTCCCTGTCATCAAGATCATGCATTTTTCATGTCATACCAAATCATGGTAACGTTGGTCCTAAAAAGGGATAACCACCGTACGTGCAGCCATTTGACAAGCCGGTTTCACCTGAGTGACACATAGTTTGTTAGACAAGAGGGATGCCACCAAGTTGCCATCGGTGTAGTTGCCAATTATCAAGTCCGGTTTGCCCTCCAAAATGTCGAGAATTTTGGCACAAGAGTCCTGAAATTACGTTGGATGGAAACTTACTATAAAGATCACAGGCCCGCGCAAAGGGTATCAGTAACTCATAGTAATTCATAGCTGACAAACCTGCGCATATCTCTCTAGATAAGGATAGATGTCAAACCGGGACACCCACTGGCGCAAATCCTTGCCATCTTCAGTCTTGAATGGCACACGTAGTATATGTGAGTATTTTGTATTTTCAACTGGTTCAAGCTCCACATTGCATTTTGTGCCTTTGGCATCTGGTATCAGTCTTGTAAGCTGCAGGAATATATATAGTGCCCACTGGTTTAGCTAATCTATTCGTCATTCATATCATCTCATTTATATATATATACCTATTCGTCATTCACTATATTTCATTGTACAGGAATATATATATCGTGAAATCAATGAAATTTACCACAAGAATTTTCGGTGTTACGTGCAGACCCTGCTGCTTGATTCTTTGAAGCAGCTCCTCTTCCATGGCTCTGACTTGATCCAATATGTAGACAACCTATATATTTCACGAAACCATTCTTTAGAGTTTTGTTAACCGATAATTAAGTTGTGACCATATTTTTAAGAGTTATAATGATTATGCGCGAGAGATTCCAGAAAACCGGTAAGTTGGGTACCTGACCACCGGTATCCGGCAATCCAAGAACCTTTTCTTGGCCGAAGTAACCATGAATAGAGAAGATGACAATGTTGAATATGGATGGAACCCTGCTGAAGAACTTCTCCATGTTTGTAGGATCTGGTGCCTGTAGCACTTCAGACAGACAATTTAGTGTTTCTTTGCACCTCTCCGCAGTGTCACCCCATCCCCTCTCTAACCCCCACTCCTGAAATCTGCAAGAACACATAATAGAGAAAACTTAAGCATGATTACAATTTTTTTTGTCTATCTACAACTTCAGATTAAAGTACTTCACCTTTGTTCAAACTTCAAGTAAGGCGTGTATTTTGGCAGCCCACTAACGAAAACCTCTGCAAGTAGCAGTGCTGTCTGAAGCTTGCTCACAGTGTCGATGGTGTCATTAATCATCAACTTCTACATGATCATAAGATAAAAAGTATCATTCAGCGGGGTACGTTGGCCACCTGATAATAATGGCACAGCTGAATGATCTCGCGGTACCTCGCCACGGTAATTCAAGGTAAGTAAATAGTCCAACAGAGGCTTCATGCTTTCAGGTTTGCCACCCAGCTTTGAGGACATGAATTTGGAGACAAACTGAAGCCCATTCCCTATTGACGAGGGCAGTGTCAAATGGGGTGTTGAGAGGTCAAGGGCACCGAAATCAACTTCCAGTGAGTTGTCATCCTTGGCCCTGAAATGCACATGGTCAGATCGACCATTTTTTTTTCAAGTTTCAGGCTCCTGTTCTTCTTCAATCTGTATATGGAAATGTTCGCATTAGCTACTACGTACTGGATTAGTGGATCATGGATATGCATACCATTTTTCATCGTATAAGGTCTCCTTGAACTTGAGATACTCCGACGGTGTGATTCCTTCGACAGAAAGATCATCAGAGTGAACTTTGACGTACTCCCAGATACCAGGATTCATTCTGACAGCGAATGCCACAAACGGTGGGAGTACTACTGCTTCCTGCAAACAAAATCGTTGCTTAATGTAATGAGCTCCAGTTTATCACCGTTTACTTTGTCTGAAAACAGATTATGATTTTAAAGTGAAATCACCTGTGTCGAACAAATGATGTAACCGAGAAAGCCTTCGACAAGCTTCTCCTTCTCAACTTTGTCATCTAGTGACTTTTCCAGCTCTTCCATGAGCTGCTGGTTCTTCAAGAGCCTCTTACCCTTTGATACGTACCTAGAACATTTTTATCCTAGACTTGAGAATCATGTGCAAGATATTCAAACCAGTGTTTTAAAAAGGGTCTACAAGGCCATATACAAGAGGAACATGTGTACCAACCTTGTCCTGCCTATGCCGCGTAAGCAGCTGATTATATCGCATAAGCGGCCGATAATGCCACATAAGCACTACAAGGTGAGGTGGCCACCCCAAACCGCTTACCGCTTTTTAAAACATCGATTCAGACTACGTTCAGGTGCTTACACTATTTGATTAGTCTCTAGCTAATTTAGATATGCTTTACATGTTTTTATGCAGCATCGTCCTAATTACAAATGTATGAATGTTCTTTCTTATTAGTTCTTATAATGGAAATGCATAAGGGCCATTAATTAAGTACCCCCTTATTAGAATATGCTGGTATGGACTGATGCATCAACCTATTTCCATTGAAAATAAAAAAGCAAGTCTCAACCACAGGAATAAAATTCCTCTGCCAGGCTTTGGCTGACACGGACAAAAAACTGAAATGCATTCCATCAAAGATTTAATTCACAATTTACGGTACCTTTGGAAGCATCTCTTCATCTGGTACCGGCTTTGTCGTAGGGCATCTGGCATTGTCTCGGCAATGCTGTCCATTCGCTTGAAACTCAGCTTGGATGCCATGGCAAAAGAGACCACCAGACTTGGAAGTAGATGGAGAAGGCACAAGAACAAAGCAGGGAAAGAAAATTAGGAAAGAATGCTTGTGAAGTTGTGAATGGCTGGGTGTTGATGAACATGAATTTATAGATGAGAACATAAGCTTGCCTCCACGGACAAAGATTTCTTTTGCTGACATAGTTGGAGATGGAAAATAGAGGAGAAAGAACATTTGCCAGGGAGAAGTTATGCTTAAGAAACATGGAAGGCAAGAAAGGCATGAACACCATCATACCACTGTAAGATTCCTTTCTTCCACCCTTCGTGAACTTGCAACTTTTTTTTTCGGAAAATAATGTGACCTAGCTAGCTTGAGCTACCTGTGTTCCCTACCCTTTGAATTCCTTGAAAACTATAGCTTTTCTTTTTGCACTGGACTGGACGGAGCAAGGTCCCTGAGGACGATGTAGTATCTTTTGACTTAGTACGATTATGCGTTGTTAACAAAATTGGAAAACCAATGTAAAATTTGGATAGGACGATGGCTCTGGGGACTTGGGCGACCTCTGAGATAGCTTGAATATCAATTATGGCTATACTACATACCGAATCCCATAAGAAAAGTAGTATATACTGCTTCAACAAGTGATTCAGTATACTGGATCGATATACTTGAAAAATGCAGTAAATACTACCTAACCGAGAGAATTAATATATACTGGTACTTGAAAATTCAGTACATATTCCTTAACCAATCGATTCCGTTGGAACGGGATACCCTTCTATGATACTTGTGATACCTGTTACCTGGTATCTGTGATACCTAGGACCTGATACCTGTGATACTCGTGCAAGAGAACAGTTAATATGTCTATCCCGTTGCAACGAGATCCCGTTTTGTAGCAGTTCTCGGATGAAAAATAGTATATCGACTAATATACTGAATACTAAAAAATCCTTACATACCGGATACTTAAAAAAACAGTACATACTCCTTTAACGATGAATTTAGTATATACGGCTATAGATGATATTTAGTATATACTGGATGAAAAATAGTATATCGACTAATATACCGAATACTAAAAAAATCCTTACATACCGGATGCTTAAAAAACCAAACCAGTACATACTCCTTCAACGATGGATTTAGTATATATGGCTAGAGATGAGATTTAGTATATATATATATATACCGGATGAAAAATAGTATATCGACTAATATACTGAATACTAAAAAATCCTTACCTATCGGATACTTAAAAAACAGTACATACTCCTTCAACGATGGATTTAGTATATACGGCTAGAGATGAGATTTAGTATATATATACCGGATGAAAAATAGTATATCGACTAATATACTGAATACTAAAAAATCCTTACCTATCGGATACTTAAAAAACAGTACATACTCCTTCAACTATGGATTTAGTATATACAATTAGAGAAAAGGCAGTAAATACCCGTGTAAAAAAAAGGAGAGATACCATTCTTAAGAAATAGTATATACTTCTACAAGATAAAGAAGCATATACCATTCCCTAGCAAAGGACGTGATATTCAAAAAGTAAGTACATACTAGTACTAGTACTACTTTCTGAAGAAGAAAAATAAGTATATGGTATAATCATTTTGAACCAGAGAAGCGTGCGCTCCACCGCCTCCACGTGTTTAGATCGATCAGTTACGTGCATTTAAAATTTGAAACACATGCACTCCGTCAGATGTGTACTAAAACAAAACTAAAACAAAAAACAAGGAAAATACATTCTTTAAAAAAATCTGACTCACCGTGGCCCTATCAGATGCTAATGGATAATCGGGGGGAGTATATACACCTCTATATACTCTCTCTCTCTCTCTCTTCTCTCTCTATATATATATACATACACATACATACTAAACTCACATAGACTTAGGTTGTGTAATAGCTAAAATGCTCCCCCTCACACCCACCCCCATACACCCCACCCCCCCTCCCGTGCACCCATCCCCCCGCATCCCCTCCTCCCACGCTTAACGGAGTAAATTTTTTACTATCAACTCTATCTGCTAACTATGGCCATGTTTGGTTTCGGAGGGCTATTAAATAGCGCTCCGGAATCTTGCTATTTAAGAGTATTAAACATAGATTACTGATAAAACCTATTCCATAACTTCTAGGCTATTTTATGAGACGAATCTAACGAGGTATATTAATCCATGATTTGCTACAGTGATTCTATAGTAATCAGCCGTTAATTATGGATTAGTTAATAGCCCGGAGCCGCTAATTATGGATTAGTTAATAGCCGGAGTATCCAAACAGGCCTATATTTACTCCCTCCCTCTCCCTCGTAGAAACCGTTCACCCACTTTCCCCTCCATCTCCACTTTTTACGGATCGGCAGCGACGATGAAGGCCTGCGGGTGCGACAGGCGGTTGAGCGGCGATTGCAGGTCGGCGGCGGGCGGTCGCCGGCTTGGGCCTCCTCGGTGTGCCGGGCGGCAGGCGGCGGGGTCCCTCCAGCTTCCTCCAACGACGGGCGACGGCGACGGCCTGCGCCAGCAGCGAGCGACGACGATGGCCTGCGCCAACGGCGGGCGACGGGCTCGGCGGGGCTGTCCCTCGCCCGATCCGGCGACGGCGGTCGTCCTCCGCCTGGATCCAGCGGCGGGGGTTTGAGGTAGAGCTGGCTTCGACGCCGCCGAGATGACCCTCCCCGTCCACATCGGCGTCCCCCTTGTGCCGCCACCTCCCCCGTCCACGCAGCGCCGCCACCATCGCCCCCTACTCCCGTCGCTGTCCACCCCTTTTTTTTAGGATCGGCGAATGGCGGGCGAGATCCGGGCTGGTTGTCGGCGTTGGAGGTGTGGCGGCGCGTCGTCCAGTTGTGAGTTGGCAATAGGACGGTGGCCGCCATCCAACCATCAGGCGCCACCCTTGCCCCCTTCCTGTCCTCATCGCCGGATGTGACGAGGACCTCGGCAGTGCCGACGCGGAGGTCTGCCTCAACAGATCGAGCGGCGGCATCGACCTCGACGGCAACGTGGATTGGGCTACATCCTCGGCGGCGGATCGAGCGCACATCAATGCAGCTCCTCTCTAAGCGATAGCGGCAACAACTGGATCAGGAGGCCTCTCCATCGTCCGCCCGGCCGTCCACCTTCGGCATCAGCTTCGTCGAACAGGAGGCGGCAGCCTAGGCGGCGGCGCGGCAGGGGGGCGACCACCTCATCGCGTGCCTGTGATCCCCCGCCGCCGGATCCAGGCGTCGCCGCCGGCATGGTCGAGGCAGCGAGGCGTTCTTGGTATCGATGGTGGTGGACTAGATCTTAATCATGTGGTCAGCTTGCACCTCCTTCCTTCCTCAGATCTGAACTAATGGCCGCCTGGGAGGTTCTCGTTTTATTGATGCAGCGCCATGTCGGTTCTTGGTGGATGCCGAATCCTTCAAGATACTCCTTCCCCGTTCCATGTTCACCGAGGACAAGGTCACCTTGCTCAAGCCCTTTTTCCTCATTTTGATAACGCTTGTTGGTGCTGTGTAGTTGCTTGTGTGCAGGTTCTAGACAAACAACACCATGAGCGATTCCATTCGCCCAGCATCACCTCCAGCTTCGATATGTTCTGCTCCCTTTCTCCTGTTCTTCTTTCTTTTCTACACTTCTTTCACGCCCATGGTTTTCGCAGTGATCAAAACCATGGTTGCATGATCAGGTCTATTGATAGTGTTGTTTTCACGATGCAATCAGCACCCCCTTCTTTGCTCCCATCTGAATTTTCTTTTGATTCGTGAATTCACTTTATTATGTTCAGGAAGCTGGGAAAAGGAACAGGAGGATATATTGCATACAGTTAAGTGATCGAGGTCCTAATGGATGCCAGTGGTGATGGCGCCACAGGAATGCTGTCTTGTTCGCCGTCCTTAATCTGGCCTGAAATGCATGAACTGAACTGTAGGTAGGCGGTCTGATTCAGATGCTTTTCCAGTGGCGATGCACTCTAGTTAGTTAAAGGAACTAACAGCAATTATGTAATTAGCCTGTGCAAGGGGCTGGGCTCATATCAGTAGATTTTTTTCCATTGTCTTTTTATTTGTGATTGTCTTTTTCTAATATTTTTACTGTACGATGGTGAAATGCGCAAAATACCCTGTTGTGCCCTGTGTCACGACTCACGCCTCTCTGCAGCACCTTCTCGCCGACATGGTCGCAGCAAGGAAGCGGATACACTTGAGCACAAGGTGCGGGACAGATACGATCTACAATACCTGACGGTGACGAGAGGTACGCACCCACTTGATTTCTGCGTCCTCAGCGGAATAAAAGATGGACCGAGAATTTTCGTTCAGAGAAATTATATTCAGAGCCCTGAGTGTCATGTTCTCTCGATTTGCATGTGCAGCCCTTTTCATATTTTTTTAGTTTGATCGGCTGGACAATTTGATACTTACAGTTGTGTCAAAAGCTCTGAAACGTTACGAAAATTATGGTGCTTATAGACATCATGCTCTAAATGTCAATTAGAAATATGCCATTTGCAATTTTGCATGTGTGCAGTATTCTCAGAAATATGCTCCCATCTGAATTTTCATTTGTTCACTCATTCACGTGTCTAATGTTCGGACAACTACCAATATCTGTTGGGATACGCGTAGGCTACGGGCCTGTTTGGTACAGCTCCAACTCCTAAATTTAACTCCAGGAGTTGAGTCTGGAGTGGAGTTGTGGAGCTGCCTAAACCCAGCTCCACAACTCTAGTTCATTTTGTGAGAGAGCTCCACCTAGCTCCACTCCCAGTTTTGGTGGAGCCGAAACTGTTTGGCTGAGCTCCAGCTCCAGAAGGGGTGAAGCTGGAGCTGGAGCTGTGCCAAACAGGCCCTACGATAGCATAAATCAAAATTTTCTATCGCGTAAACCAGGAACCATGAAAGTATTAGATCATAGATCGCTACCACTCGACACGCTGTGTAGCGGAAGAAGACGCTGAGAAGTCGAAGGAACTCTCGCGAAGTAGCGCACGTCGATGTAGAGGAAGTAGTCGATCGCACCGGCTCGGCCTTCTCCTCCTCGTGCGTTCTCCTCGTCGTACTCCCACGCCGATCAGCACCGCAAACCAGCGGTGCCTCTACCGGTATCCACATGTACAGGGACGGAACACCACGCGCGCAGCTAGGGTTTGCTCGGGGAGGGAAGTGGCGGCTAGGGTTTCTCACGTGATGCAATGCCTCCGCCGGTCACACCCCTCACGAATATATAGGATCCATCACTCGGGCCTCCAAGGCCCGTAGAACTCCTATTCGGATCCCTATCCAAATTAAGCTCATATTGGATCTCTATCCAATCCCCTTATTCTGGCCCATTAAGCGTGCGAACCTGTAGGTTCATATATACTCGGCTGTAACCCGAAAACTCCTTTTCGGTCCACGCGTCAACAGCGGCCCCTAGCAGAACGTATTGACCCACCGGGCATACATAAAGATCATATCGGCTGAACCTCTAGTATATACTTGTATGAACCCCTTTGCCTCACGATATCGATTAAGCTCAAGGCTAGATATGTGCCATCCTCTAATAGCTCAATCATTCACTCGAACCTGTTGATAGATTATATAACTTGTGATTGACTCCTCAATCACCTTTGGCATGGCCATACACTTCCATAATCTACAACATCGAGGGGCCCAGAGATATCTCTCCATAGGAGGGGCAAATCCCATCTTGATTATTCATATCTCACTACATGTTTCATATCATACCCGAAAACTACTTTTATAACTACCCAATTACGGAGTAGCGTTTAGCAGTCCCTAAGTAAGCTACTACACATGTTGATAACCATGATAATCTCAGGTATAAGGATTTAACAGCAACACTCAATGAGATCACTGATGACAGAACACATATGGCTCTTGCAGTGTCTCATGTTGGTTACAATTTTCTTGATTTTTTTTATCAAAATGAATATGTGTACGTCTGTCTCCTGTTTATAATTGTTATCGCAAATTTTGCTACAGGACACTACTATTGTGTGATTTTAGCCCTAGGACACCGTCTAAACTCACTTTTGGGGGAAAACACTCTATAAACGTGGTAATTTACCGGTGGACACTGCGTCGATTAAAATAATAATTTCCGGTTGAAGAGGAGAGAGAAATCATGTGAAATATCAAAAATGCCCTTGGGCCATATGCCAGCTCTTCCATCTTTGGTCAATCCCCATCACAACCTCTCCCCCCTTTCTGATCTCTCACGATCTCCTTCGGCCGGCTGCCACCGCCGTCCGTCTTCGCTCCGTCGTCGTCGCCGCCGCCGCTGCCACATTCGCCGTCGCCATGCTGACGCGGCCGCCATGGCCGACTGTGGCCGTCACCTGCATGCAGCGCCACCGCCGTCGTCAAAGCCGCCGCAACTAAGCGCCACCGCCGCCACTGCCGCCGTCGCCACCACTGTCGCCGTCTCACGCCAGGATCTTGATCTCGGGGCCGTCCGCCGCCGCCTCCCAGTCGTAGTCCTCACCCTCCGCCACCGCCACCCCACGCGGTGAAGGCGTACTCACCGCCGCGCCGCTAGTTGCCGTAGCCACCATCGCTGCGCGTTGTCGTGGTCGTCGTCTGCGTCGCCGCCCCCGCAACCGGGACCGTCACCGCCACCACCGCTTCCGCCACTGCCGCCGCCGCACGTCTCCGAGCACTCCCGGTTGTTGCACTCCACCACCGCCGCTGCACGACTCCCGACGCTCCACTTTGTGGACAACGGCGCTCCTGGTGGAAGAGAGATGGAAGATATGATATGTGGGCCCAAGGGCCTTTTAGAACTTTTATATGATTTCTCTCTCCTCTTCAACCGAAAATTATTATTTTAATCGACACGGTCTCCACTGGCAAATTACCATGTTTATGGAGTGTTTTCCCTTAAAAATAAGTTTGGGCAATATCCTAGGGCTAAAACCACACAATAGCAGTGTCCTGTAGCAAAATTTGCCAAATTTTATTGGTCATGTGATATAACCAGCCTACAATTTTCATGGAGTAAAATGTTTACTCACACTGTAATATTGTATTCATGCTGTGGAGGCTAATTTGGAAAAAGAAAAATACTCTTCTCATGTCATCGTCCAATAAAACATTTACTATGCGCTAATAAGCGTTCGTGAAAAAAATACTAATAGATCGATACATAGCATTAAAAATAAAAAGAACACTTGGTAGTACTACGACAAATAAGGCACCGAGCTACTGAAAATAACTTAAAAAAATAAAGATATTATTACAGGTGACTAGGTAATAAAAATATTACTAATAGTAGAAGGGTTTATTTAACTAAATAGTAAAATCATTACTAATATTAAGGAACTAATCAAATGATATATTTGCAAGTAACTGATTTTCTGACAGAGCCTCCAACGTAACTAAAATCCAATAATTCATTTACTAAATGAAGGTTGGTTGGGTGCAGAAGTAATCTGTTAATAATTTTTTTATCAATGGTTATGTGAGCGAAGCAAAACAACACGAAAGTAAACTGTTAATATATTTGTTTTATCAATGGTTATGTGAGGGAAGCAAGACAACACGAGTGCACGAGAAAAAAAAAAAAGAGGGAACGGAAGGAGCACGGACGGTTGAAGAAAAAAAAGGAAAAACTTGGGGGTGGGATGGGGTGGGGGGAGGAGGTTACATGAGGGGAGCGGTTAAGTTATATATATAATTGTTACATGACACCCTGCATGTCACCTAGTTAAGTAGCATCTATAGTCCAGCGTGCTACTGTAGTAACTTTTTTTTTTACTGCTATACGAGCACTATCCATTTTCCGTAAATGCTGATTGGATTGGGAACCTAAACTTGTGAACAGAGCCTTGGTGTGAGTGTTTATACCGTCCATAAGCATTCGTCTGACCGTATCCTACCATTCCTCTCTTCCTTACTCAGTTTTTTCCGGATGCACAGTAGCATCAATAATCGAGGAGATTTCCGGCATAAATTGGTGAGGCTACGGGAGAAAGCGACCACAAGCTCCTCCGGCTACATGAGGGCTGGACGGCGGCGACGAGGACACTGAGAATATGCAGGTCCGACGGATATGAAGGATGGCGATGAGGGAGTGCAGTAACACTGAGAACATATATATCACGGAAGTGTAGTAACTATAGAAAATACGTTCTTACTGCAGTTTTTTAGTAACATCAGGATAGAAATGGCAGTAGCAGACAACATATGGTGGAAATAATACTGCTATTGTACTTCTGCTTATGGAGAGCTAAAAATTTGAAATTTGCAATCTTAAGAGAAAACTATCATTATATATTGTTTTTCTTGACCATTCGCACCACAATGTTCGTAAAAAAAAATATAACAAAACTAGATCTATCATGAATATATTTTAACGTCGTTACAATATTTATTAACATCATAGAAGTGCGGTAACATGTCATGTTACTGCAGAACATATTTTTGGCAGTAACATCGTCGTGAAATCGTAGTATTATTAGTAACGGTACTGCTATAAAACTATCGTTTGTCAAGAATTAAATTTTAAAAATGGTAATCATGTACTTGTGATATTATAGTACTATTAGAGATGCATGGCCACAAATTGACACAAGTGCTAAAAGTACTTCTCTTTGCACACACAAATATACATGGTAGCAAGCTAAGTAGATCCGTTTGGAATTCAAATATTTAAATAATGATATCTCTCACATCACATATTAAATTTTCGAACCATACGCATCATAATGCTTTTAAAAAAGAACTTTACAAAACTAAATTCGTTATCACTATATTCTAATGACGTTACTGCAAGGAATTGATCCTGTTATTACACGATGATCATTTGTTACTGTACGGTTCCTGTGAAGATTCCTAAGCAGTCCTGTTTTGGCCCCATATGTTATATGAGCTGGGTCAATTGGTAGATGGGTCGACCCCGACCCACTCCACGTGCATGTGCATCAAGTTGGGATTTGTATATTTGGTTTTACGGTTGAGGTACGTGGACAAAACCCAACCCGTCGAAGGACACAAAGTGAACTTTTTGCTAAACGGTCGGAACTACCAGTGCCCCGTCGTGGAATAAGTTCACTCTAGGTCCCTCAATTTGTCGCCCAATCTGATTTTCGTCCTCAGTCCGCAAAACCAGATACAAAACATCCCTCAACTTACAAAACCATGCAAATGAGATCCCTCGGCAGTATTGGTCTCTGGTTTTGACTGACGTGGCATTGACGTGGCGCTTACGTGGCAATTAGATCTAGAAAAAGCTCATACGGCCCACATGTCAGCTACGCACAACAATAATAATAAATGGTGGGGCCCATTGGCCCCATACGTCATCCTCAATATCTCTCTTTCTCCTCTCGCTGGAGTCAGAGGCTCACAGCAAAGGCAGGCGGCGACCGGAGCTGAGCGGACGGCAGCTCCGACCGCCAGAGCAAGCTACAAAGCGGAGCGGGGTGGCCGGAGCGGGCGACGGGTTGAGCGGCGGCGACCGGCGACCGCTCCCGACTCATCGCTCCCTTCCCCTTTTCGGCATGTGGGCGGCGAAGGACGGAGCGGCGGGGCTGGACGGCTGGCAGCGGAGCGGGGCGTGAGGCCGAAGCAGCGACGGCGGGCAGAGTAGGCCGGCGGTGCGGAGCGGGACGGGTGGAGCGGCGGCAACCGCTCTCTACTCCTTTGTCCTCTCTCCCTTCCCTTTTTGTCATGTGGGCGGCGGCCGACCTCGACTCCATTGCCGCCTCCCTCGACAACGGCGTGCTCACCGTCCGCTTCTGGAAGTTGGCGCCCGACGCCGACGCCCTCCTCCACGGTGCCGCTTGCGCCCTGTGGCCCCGCGCGCCGCCGACGCCCTCCTTGACGCCGCCACCAGTTGCGTTGGCCCCCAAGATTGTCACGCCGGTGCCCGCGCCCAAGGCTGCCGCCACCCCGACGCTCACGCCGGTCGCCGCCACTACGACGCCCAACGCCGCTGTATCTCCTAGCCCAGGCTGCCCAGCTCCGACATGTCGCCCTCACTTGCCGCCGAGCCCCCAGCCACGACGGCCCGACTGGGTAGGAGGAAGGTGGAGGTGGGGAGGATGCGGGAGAGGGAGGTGATGATGGGGCGGCGGAGGATTGGAGCCAGGGGTCGAGCGGCTGGTAGGTGACCGGCGACGACGAGGACCTGTGACGACGTTGCTTGCCGCCTTGATGAGTCACTGCACGACGGGGACCTCGCCGATGGGGATTGACCACCGGAGGAACGCGGCGGCTTGAAGGTGGAGTGCGACGGTGGCGCGCGAGGTCGCCGAGGGCGCCTCCTCGCTCGCCTGCGGGAAGCCGGGAAGGGAAGTTGAAGAGAAGGGAGAGGGAAGAAGAGAGAGGAAAGAGAGAGGGGATAGGGAAGAAGGGAGGTGAGGCTGACATATGGGGCCCACGTGAGCCCCACCATTTTTAATTATTTTGTGTTTGTTGCTGATATGTGGGGCCACGGGTTTATTATTTTTGGATTCAAATTGCCACATAAGCTCCACGTCAAATGCCACGTGGGACAAAGACTAAGTTAAACTAGCCACGTTGGCGTCACGTCAGCCAAAACCGCCTTCCAAACCGCCAATGGACTTGGTTTGCACTGGTTTTGATAGTTGAGGGACCTGTTGTATCTGGTTTTTTGGTTGAAGGACGAAAGTCGGATTTGTTGACAAGTTGAGGGACCTCGGATGAACTTATTTCCCCCGTCGTAGGCCTTCTACCAAGTAGATAAGCCCACTACCAACCCGTCCAAAACCGCAGAAAATCAGCAGTCCTCACCACCCTATGGCGTCCGCCGCCGTTGCCGCCGCGGCCGCGCCGCTGCGGCGTTCGCTCCTTCCCTCCCTCAACCCGAGCTGTCTCTTCTCCTCCCTCGCGTCCTCCTCGCACCGCCTATCTCTACCGCGCGCCCTCCGCCCCGCGGGCCCTTTGCCCTCCGATGTCGAAGACTCGGACGATTCGAATGCCGGAGACGGCGCCGGCGAGGCCCTCAGGAAGAGCCGCAACGACCTGAAACGGGAGGCTCGTCGCGCCGTGCAGTGGGGTATGGACCTCGCTAAGTTCTCCCCTCCCCAGATCAAGCGCATCCTCAGGTGCCTATCCAGCCTACCTTCACATCCGATTCTTGGTAGTACTTCGTTGGAGGGCACCTAGTATGTGATTCTTGTTTCTCAGGGCTGCGTCGCTAGATCGCGAGGTGTTCGACGCTCTCATGCTCGTGAAGGTACATCCTTTGTTCTGGTAATAGCTTGTATATCCGTTGTTCTTGTAATAGCTTGTATATTTGATTGCAAATCACGTTTTTGTCTGTTTTCTTGTTTTGTAGAGATTTGGATCAGATGTGCGGGAAGGAAAAAGGAGGCAGTTCAACTATATCGGTATCTTTACTTACTGGGTTAATTGGATTCATGCCACTGCAAATATGTCAATTCAAAAAAATGTCACTACTATTCAGTATATCGGCTACGTGGCACTGAAAATTGTGGAAATTGGATCCATGCCACTCCATCACGTTTTCCGTCAAAAATCTTTATTAGCCCCCAGCTGCACGTGGGCCCCACCTCCCTTCCCTCTCTTCTCTTTCCTCTTCCTCTCTCTCCACCACCGTAGATGCGGCAGGAGGTGTCGTCTCCGTCGTCTCCATCATTGTCTTAGAGAGGTCGGGCCAGGCTGCGCCTGCGTCGTCGTTGTTGTCGAGCACCTCGTCTCGGAGCCGGTGAGCCACGCGGTCTCTGTCACCGTTCAAGGGAGGAGGAGGTGGTGGTGGAGGAGGCATCACCGACGACTGAGTACCCATCCTTGCCACCGTTGCCGAGGACCTCCATGATGCGCGGCTAAGGCAGCGGCAGCTAGAGGGGTGCGCTATCAGCAAGGACCCTCTCCTCAATTAATCCATCGCTAGTACGCTGCTCTGATGGCTCGCTTCGCCGTCGTCGCCATCATCGTCACCCTCCTCGCCGTCACGGCCGCTGTGCAGGCCCCGGGAGTGGCCCCCATCCCGGCACCCAAGATGGCCCCGCTGCCTGCTCCCCCGACGAGGTCCCCGGCCACCGCTTCCTCCATCCCGGCAAAGGACAAGAGTCCATGGTGCAACAGTCACAACAATGGCAGAGCAAGCAACAGTAGTCGCGGCACGAGCAATTTCGGTGGCGGTGGCAAAAGCTCATCGTGATAGTGGCGAGGTCTCAGTCCATCGTCATTTTTGGCTTGATGGGACAAGCAGCACTGCATCAGTCGGCATGGTGGACAAGCAGCAGTCACAATAACGACCGGGGACCTCGTCGGCATGGTGGGCTAAACTAAGCCCTTTGGTTTGAGAAAAACCGATCCTTGTTTCACCGAGGAAAAGAGAGAAATTCTGTATAAATTGACAATGCTGACTTGAATTGACTAATTCAGTTCCGCCTATTCCACATTAATGGGAGTACATTTATGTTTCTGCTTCACGAATATAATATTTTTTGGGCATTTCTAATAATAGCAAGCCTTATTCCTATTTTAGCATTTTGGATTTCAGCACTTTTAAGCTCCGGTTCGTGAAGGACCAGAGAAGCTTTCTAGTTATGAATCGGGTATAGAACCCATGGGGGGGGGCTTGGTTACAATTCTGAATACGCTATTACATGTTTGCGCTAGTTTTTGTTGTTTTTGATGTGGAAACGGTCTTTCTCTACCCTTGGGCAATGAGTTTCGACGTATTGGGTATATCCGTTTTTATCGAAGCTTTCATTTTTGTGCTTATCCTAGTTGTTGGTTTAGTTTATGCATGGCGAAAAGGAGCCTTGGAATGGTCTTAACTGAATATTCAGACAAAAAAAAAAGAAGGATTGCTTCTCTTCCAGGGAAGTTTCATTTTCCCAGAATGTATCCTAATTTTTGGCCTAATTCTGATGATCGATTTAATCTCTGATCAAAAAGATAGACCTTGGTTCTATTTCATCTCTTCAACAAGTTTAGTAATAAGCATAACGGCCCTATTGTTCCGATGGAGAGAAGAACCTATAATTAGCTTTTCGGGAAATTTCCAAACGAACAATTTCAACGAAATCTTTCAATTTCTTATTTTATTATGTTCAACTTTATGTATTCCTCTATCAGTAGAGTACATTGAATGTACAGAAATGGCAGCAGTCTCCTCCGACTCCGCCCACTGATGCCCTAGACACCAATGCTCCCTCCGCCCTTGCCTTGTCTGCGGTCACCCCCACCGCCTCTGCAGTCTGCACCGACCGGCGCTCCCACCGGCGCCCCCGCGAGCTCCTCTGCATTCACCACCACCGGTGCTCCCATCGCGGGGATGAAGGAAGAGATGGGGAAGAAAGAAGAGGAATAATGGAGGAAGATAGAACTGACATGTGGGTCCCACGTCCAGGAGGGTGACGGAAAACGTGATGGAGTGGCACGGTTCAAAATTTTCAAATTTCTAGTGGCGATAAGGGATCGCCCAGGATCGGGTGGAAGGTCGGAGAAGCCAGTCTTCAGGTCCATATTTTTGGAAAAACTGTGATGTCTGGAGTTGGTAATGATATAGGTCCTAGAAATTTGGCTGGCTACGTTACTTATAACCGCAGAACGAGCAATGAATCCCCAACGACAAACGAACGTGCAACAATTCCTGCACCCGCAACTCCATCCTGCAAGTTCAGTGCTCCATCAGTGTTCAGTTTCATCCATCCCAAAGCAGGTCGAGCCCACTTCTGAACCACAGCCGATGGCCTGAACGACACCTTCTGCAGACTCTACTGGTGGTATTCCCCGAGGCGACCTATATCCCCACCAATGTGATCTCCATTACAGATGGACAAATCTGTTTGGAAACAGAGCTCTTTTATCGCGGAATTAGACCTGCTATTAACGTTGGATTATCCGTCAGTCGCGTCGGGTCTGCCGCTTAGTTGAAAGCTATGAAACAAGTCTGCGGTAGTTCAAAACTGGGTACCTCAAAGTTTATAGTTCTAAGCTGAAGAAATAGCCTGAGTCAATTTATCTTCTTTACAACCTCCAAACAAACAGAAAGACTAACGCCGAAAGATATGTTTTGAAGAGAGCTCCATCGGGTTGAAGCCGAATTGCAGAGAATCAAGATCTTCTACCTTTGCGGAGGGACTTGAATTATTACTTCTATTTACTTGATTTGCTGGGGAAGAAAATCATTAAAATACCACTAAGTAAGGCCGGGCAAGTGCAAGTCCCGATAACGGGAAGAAATGCCTACCAAGTGAAAGAAAGAGATCGCAATGGTCTAAGATATAGTCAGTGAACAATAACTCAGGGTAGCCGATATACTGAATAGTAGTGGTATTTTTTCTAATTGTCATATTTGCAGTGGCATAGATCCAATTAACCCTTACTTCTTTCGTTGATGCTACAGTTATTCCCATCCATTCTTTTAGTTGCCAACTAGACATTGTTATCTTTTTTAAATGAATTATTTATGAGATTTTGTCATCTTGTAATACATATGTAATGTCTTCTGGTAGTGTAAGTTGGAAAAATTAGTGGCATATATGAGAATGGACATTCATTAGTGGCAAAACCAAACTTTCCCCTAATATGTCCGAAGTCTAAAAGGGATCAAATTTATTTGATGGTTTGTTTCAGATCTCAAGTGCTTTTGTACACTGCTTGATCTATATTTGCTGTGTACTGCATTAATGTCCTATGATATTAGGGAGTGATTTCTTTAGTGCTTTTGCAACAGTACTGACTTGGACACCGGGTGTTGCAACAGAAAACAAATTGAATTTATAGCTTATTTAATCAATTAATAAGCATTTATTTAGTTCTAGTAATTTTTCTTATTGAACGAGTAGGTGATTTTTAAAATTTGGGGGAGCCAATAGTGAAATGGAGGACATGTTGAAAAGTGGTGTAAATAGTATAAATTGTGGGCCCCCAGATGTCAGTAGTAGGGGTGGTGTGGGGATGGACACTGCGACTACTAACATCATTATTTTAGAAAGATTGTTAAAAATATAACTAAAAATATATGTGCTCAGACTGTTGCCAAATAACCAGCCTTTTACACATGCTCAGGTTTTGGCATAAGGACATGCACACATCCTTTGGTCAAATTATACTTATCCTGAGTTTCTGAATACACAAGAACTTATTCTTGAATAGGACTTCCTTTTTTTTTTTTTAAATATCCTTGCTGATATTATCATCCTAGCATTGGAAGTTGTCATGACCAGGCTGCACATATGAGCTTTTTCTCTGACTGCTCTCAAGTTCAGCTCCTGCTATTCACAGCAATCAACCAACAAATTAAATAGCAAGTCTTACAAAAAACTCCCACCAAAACAACCAAGCTGGTCTCTTATAAACTGAAGGAAAATCAAGAAAATAAGCACCACTCTTGATTCCAGGAAGCCAAAAACCAGAAATTTCCTCAAGAATAAGCACCACTCTTGATTCCAGGAAGGTGACTTGCTGATGTCCTCCAAAACAACCAAGCTAGTCTTTTATAGGGCTTGTTTGGTACAGTCCAACTCCTACATTTATCTCCATGAGTTGGGTCTGGAGTGGAGTTGTGGAGCTACCTAAACCCAGCTCCACAACTGTAGTTTATTTTGTGAGAGAGCTCCACCCAGCTCCACTCCCATTTTTAGTGGAGTTAAAACTATTTGGCTGAGCTCCAGCTCTAGGAGGGGTGGAGCTGGAGCTGGAGTTGTGCCAAACAGGCCCATAGTCTGCATGGTCTTTTTGGCAGCTGCTAAAAGGTGTTCTGTGTTATGTTAGTTCCAAACCATGGTGTTTAAATGAAAAGTCCACTAAACCTGGTTCTTGTTATTGCATTAGCCCCTAAAGATGGTGCTTCTGCTTTTTGAAATTTCAACATGTCAAATTGTACCTAAGCAAAGGGATTTCATTGAACTTGATATTGATTTGCCTACAAATAATATGATTTTTACGATATAAGGTTGTCGTCGAAAAGAAACAACGGGATAGGTTCTAGCATCATCATATCATTCAGACTGCCACACTATATTTGGGTTAGTGATGATAATATCCTATTGATCGGCTTTTGCATTTTTCTAGCGTCACTGATTGCCTAGAAGGCCACGTCTTCCCTGCTCTAGTGCTTAGGCTGAAACCTTTATTCTATGGCAGCACTTGTGTCATTTGGACTACTAGCGATCCATCTAGGCTTGAGCAATTGAAGGAAATTGCTGTTGGTGCATTGTTTGTAATGTCTAAGTCAAGAGTTTACTATTGATCTCAATATGTGCCATCCAAGCTTGATGTTGCAGATTTCATCACCAAAGCTTGGGCTTGAGAACATCTCTTCAATTACTCTAACTCAATGCCTTAGGTCTTCCTATCTCCAAACTCACATGCATGTAGGCCCATAGTAATAAGCTCCAGACTTCTTCAAAAAGGGAAACTCTGTAAAGAACCAACCTTTTCTGAATGTTATGTTTTTGCATTCATGTATTCACCTAGATCAAGTAACCCTTGGATTCATATATTTGATATTTATTTTATGTTATTATTTCTTTCAGGAAGACTTCTGCGTGGTGCACAACCCGAATTGATGGACACTCTAATCCAGTATTCGAAGGATGGCGATGATAACAGGTTACTTGCATTAATGAGTGAAAATACATTCTTGATGGAAGATGAGGAAATAGAGGACTTGCCTTGCAATGAAGAAGAGGTGCATCTTATTTCTTGTCCCTCAACTTTAGACCTGTTTATTTTTGTGCCTCAGTTCCAAAACCAGCTAAATTTCGTCCCTCAAATCTGAAAACCAAGAAAAACATGTCCGTCTAACCAATAGACCTTGTTTTGTATCACATGAGTCCACCTTGGATCCTACTTATATGGTTAACCTAACTCACTGTTTCTTGCTCGTTCCTCTTTCTTGCTCTTGCTATCTTCAGCAAGCATCCTGTTCTTCCTTGCCCAAGTGACCAGTTAGGACGCCCAGATCTAGCCATGGCAGGCCCATATTGTGTGGTCCCACTATGTCCAGGCAAGCTCACTCTAGGAAGTTGGACAGGACTTCAACAATCTCCTCATTCTTTGTGATGCGCATTTCACATCGTTTCAGCTGAACCGGACCCAAAATAAAATCCATACAATACTGATGCGACCATGCCACCCTGACACCGATAGGATGGATTCCATAGGAAACCTGATAATTTGATGGCACTGTGCAGTAGGAGGATCTCCAAGCGGTTTTGGTTTGCCTTGTATGCAGCATTGCACAGCAGTTCTGCTCTATCTGTGCCACCTGATCTTGTAGGTTCTCCAATTGCAGGGAAGCGATCGTCACTTTAGAGCAGCATCGCGTCCTATTGTGGTTAAGGCATGTGACAAGTGTCACAGGTCTTGCTTCTATCAGCTGTATGAATTGAGTAGCAGGGCACATCTCCTTGGTATGGATGATGTCCCTTTTAGTGGCGTATTGGCCAACTAGATTAAGAACAGCAGAAAGAACACTGAGAAGGAAAAGGAGGCTGACTGATAGGATTCCATTGCTGTCCTAGAAACACAAGAGCATAGTTAGATACTCCCTCAGTCCCATTTTAAGCGCAGCTGTGGGTTTTTGTATTCAACATTTGACCGTCTGTTTTATTTGAAATTATTTTATGATTAGTAATTTTATTGTTATTAGATGATAAAGCATGAATAGTACTTTATGTAGGACTTTTTTTAAAAAAAAGTTCATAAAATTTTCAAATAAAATAGATGATCAAATGTTGGACACTTGGATACATAAACTCATGACTGCACTTAAAATGGGACAAAAATGGGACAGAGGGAGTACTAGTAGATGCCTAATTGGTTAAAACCAAGTGAGTTTTTTTGAGGA